GAGACGTCGCTGCAGACAGAAGGGTCAGGCAAACCCTAATTTGCCATCAGGAGCCAGCACCCATGTCCCAGGGCAAAGGGACATCTCTGCTATAGCAGACGGTGGTGAGCAGAGCAAGACCAGAGCATGGGGAGAGACTGCACTGGAGGCACCACGAGAGCTCATTTGTTTATAGAGAACATTTAAAACCATGGGGCTGTTGGACACAAGCAGGGGAGGCAAGTGAGGTGTGAGGAGTTAACAGAACAAGGAGATGTGGCTCATTTAGTACAGCAGAGAGAGGTTCTTCTGCCCCTCTGCTCTGCCCTGCTCACACCACAGCTGCAATCTTATGTCCAGTGCTGGGCCCTCAGCTCCAGAAGGACAGGAACTGCTTGAAAGAGTCCAGCAGGGCCACAAAGTGATGGAGGGAGTGGAGCATCTCCTGCTGAGGAGCGGCTGAGGGAGCTGGGGCTCTTGAGCTTGGAGCAGAGCAGCCTGAGGGGTGCCCTCATTCCTGGGGATCCATTGGGAAAGGGCAGTGTCAGGAGGAAGGAGCCAGGCTCTGCTCTGGGCTGTCCAATGGCAGGACAAGGGGCAATGGTCCCAAGCTGGAGCACAGGAGGTTCCAGCTGAAGATGAGGCCAAAGTTTGTGAGTGTGAGGGTTCTGGAGCATGGCCCAGGCTGCCCAGAGAGGTTGTGGAGTCTCCTTGTGTGGAGACACCCAAAGCCCTGGCCGTGTTCCTGTGTGACTGCTCTGGTGATCCTGCTCTGGCAGGGGTTGCACTGGGGGAGCTTTCCAGGTCCCTTCCAACTCCTGACATCCTGGGATTCAGTGATTACTAACTCCTTCCCTTGGGGGGTGACTCCCGATTCCAGGGGAACCCTGACAGGACCCTGCCATGACAACACTCAGCAGGTGACGACACCACCGCCCGCTCTTGTGGTCACAGAACTGTTCACGTTTCAGTTCCCTGTGTGCTGTGGAGCTCAAGGACAACAGCACAGCACAGCACGGCGTCTGTACCACTGACACCATCACCAACACAGCACAGCTCAACACAGCACTGCCACGGGGACTGTCCCACTGACAGTCACAGGTTGTTTCAGGGCGCAGGGACAGGGCAAGGCTCCACCAGGCGCTGCCCTCCACATCCATCCTTTTTGACACTGCATCCCCTAAAACAGCGACTTACGTGCTGCGCAATCACCAAAATACCTGGTCTCTGTCTTTATAAACCCTGAAAACAGAACTGTGCATGTCTCAAAATAATTTAAACAAATTAGCAGAGACTATCTTCGAGAGGATCATTTGCCAACACACACACTTTTTAAATGCTTTTCTTCCTTTGGTTTTATAATATTTACATTTATGTTTCAGCAAAGGAGTCCTTTACAGAACTGGAGATACAATGCCGTGTGAGCTCAATAAACAAACTATGGTTACTTCACATTAGGAAGATTTATGGCTTTTCTTCCCTGAAACCATTTTGATGCAGCTTTGGCTTTTCATTACACACACACACACACACACACATACAACACCCACTTATTCTAAGCCTGCGTCTTTGCATCCCCATCACCACATGTATTAGAAATAGCACAGCTGAACCAAACTTTTGCACACTGGGGCTACCTGAGTGACACTCACTGGAATTTGGGACACAGCAAGAAGCAGGGCTTTGCCCGGACCCCAGCCCCTGGTACCCTCAGTGCGTGTCAGCCCCAGGGCCAGCGCTAGGCGAGGGCCATTGACTCGTCCACAGTTGCTGAAACGCCAGAGGTTGAGGTGCACATGTGGGAAGGCACAGCTGAAACACAGGGATGTCTGTGCAGGATGAGCACTGCTCCCAGGGGCTGCATGCACCCGCTGCGTGCTCTGAGCATCCCACACTGCGGGCACAACCACTGCTGGCACCACCAGTGCTGACACAACCGCTGCTGCTGGCACAACCACTGCTGGTACAACCACTCCTGTCACAACCATTACTGGCACCAACCACTGCTGGTACAACCATTGCTGCTGGCACAACCATTACTGGCACCAACTGCTGCTGGCACCACCACTGCTGGCACAACCACCGCTGCTGACCCAACTACTGCTGCTGGCACAACCTCTGCTGGCACAACTACTCCTGTCACAACCATTACTGGCACCAACCACTGCCGGCACCACCACTGCTG